AGCGCAGCGTTCCCAGGAGGGTCCGTCCTCTCTCTCCATTTCCACGATCCTGACCAGCCCTTCGAGCTACGCCCAGATGTGGCTCAGAGGCCCCCCCCAAGGAGGTCCCACAGAAAATGAGAAGCGCCGGACGCGGCGCGCCGCGGAAGATCCTGCTCAAAAGCGGGAGGAGCTGATGGCTCGGAGCTCCTGGGATCACGTTCATGACCCTACAGGCCCCCCCACACACCTCCAGAACCACCCAGAGAGCAGAACAACCAAAAGCCTCCTCGATGCTTGATCCTGTCGCCTCGTCCATCCTCAGGCGGAGGCAGCACCCCCTTCTGGCTGTGGCCGCCCTTGGCACCGCCCGAGCGGCGTCGGGGAGATCGCAGAAGAGATGCTTCGGAACGCCCCGGGGGCACCCGTGATGCAGTTGATCGCGGTCGTCTTTCCGGCCCCGTTGTGGCCCAGAAGCGCGAAGATCTCTCCGCGCCGCACCTTCATCATGCTCATCCTCCTTATCCTCATCATATTCGTCATCCTCCTACTCCTCCACCTCCTCCTCCATTCCTTCTCCTTATGAATAACTTATCCCTGTCGCACCCCGAGTCCAGTTTTTAGAGCGGGCCAGGCGTTTCGCCTGAGACTTCCTCACTTGTGACCCTGAAGCTTAGAAATTCGCAACAGCTTCACAGATGGAGGGCGGGTCGTTTTCAAAATGTGGCTCTCACCTTAGCGCCGCGCACATCCATTCTATGAAGCACAAGAGATTCACGGATTGAGGGCGAGTGGTTTTCAAAATGTGGCTCTCGCCTCAGCGCCACGCACCTTCATTGTAAAAAGTTGCAAGAACTTCATGGATTGACGGCGAGTGGTTTTCAAAATGTGGCTCTCATTTTTAGCGCCGCGCACATTCGTAAAAAAAATCACCAGATTTCGCTGATTGAGGGTGAGAAGTTTTCAAAATGTCGCTGTCGCCTTTTTGCCGCGCATATTCGCATTAAACATGTGCAAGAGTTTCACGGGTTGAGGGGGGGTCCTTTTCAAAATGCGGCTCTCGCCTTGGCGCCGCGCACAATCGTTTGTAACTGTTGCAAGGTTCTCACTATTTCCCATGATCAGCGTAATAGAACTAGCGCTTTGGAAGGTGTCTGGATTATGAGGGCGCAACAGTTACGTTGATTCGCGGTGCTGAAGTCCCAGGAATGGCGTTCCGGCACCATTCAGGATCGTCAAGACGCAACAGTCAGGTTGGTCCGTGGCGTTGGAATCTGGAGAACAATGTTTTGGCATGCTTCAGGGTCTTCAAGCGTTCGCCTTCCAGCGAGGCAGTTCCCTCAGCGGAAAGAACCCTTGTATGGGGCCTATGAAGAGGAAGCTTGGACGAAGGGTTTATTCCAACATCGTTGATGCCTCTTGGGTTTACACTGGTCCTCCTCCTCCTCCCCAGCGCCCTCCGTCTCCTCTGCGAGTTGTGGCTCCTCCTCCTCCTCCTGTTCCTCCTCATGATCCTGGTCCTCCTCCTCCTCCTCCTCCTCCTCCTCCTCCTCCTCCTCCTCCTCCTCCCTCTCCTCCTCTTCCTCCTCCTCTTCCTCCTCCTCCTCCTCCTCCCCCTCCTCCTCCTCCTCCTCCCCCTCCTCATCCTCTACAAGGACCGATGCGGCTCCTCTTTCCCCCACCACAGAGAATTGTTGCCCGTCCTTCTCCTCCCCCTTCTCATCCTCCCCCTCCTCGAGCTCCACGAGGAAGAGGAGGAGGACGACGAAAAGGAGGAGGAGAAGGAGGACAACGACGACGACAGATTCTCCCTCCCGCCCCACACACGAAACCTCCAAGCTCATCTCGTCCACCGCCCGATGCTCCCCGAAGACCTTGACCAACCTGTCCAGTTTCAGCGCGGGCGAATCCTCCTGTGGCCCATGGAGGAGCACGGAAATTCCAGGAGGAGGAGGAGGACAAACAAGGCTGGGAATTGGATGAAAGGTAGAAGGGAGGGAGGGAGGGAGAAAGGAAGGAGGAGACGAGAGGAGGAGGAAGGGCTTAGGAGCAGGAGGGGGGAAGAGAAGGAGGGAGGAGGAGGAGTCCAGCGTAGGAGGGAGGGAGGAGGAGGAGCAGGAGCAGGAGCAGGAAGAGGAGGAGGAGGAAGAACTCAAATTGCGGGGGTTGGTGGCAATGAGAAGGCCAGAATCATGTAATAAAATGGGCTCTGTCTCGAAACGAATGCGTTTGCACGCGCTGGAGCTGAGCCAAACGGCGACAGGGCATCCTATTCAGGGCGCCGGCCCGGGCGGATTGGGGGCTCACCGACTGTACTCGGGAGCTCGCCCGTGCTCTCACGAACAGCACTAGGCACTAGGCACAGCTCGCGAGAGTGCGTGGGGCGTGCTCACCCAGTGCCGCGTCGGTGCATGCGGACCCCGCGCTGCGGACAGGAAGCCCGAAAGCCTGCAGCATCATGCCTGACGGCGCGTAGCTCGGGGTCGCGTCGAGGCGAAGACGGGGAAGGAGCAGCCTTGACCCGGCAGCGCGCGAACGGGAGCAAGGCAGGGTGGACTAGGAGGGGCGCGCGGCGTGCGCAGCCATCGCGCAGCCGCCTTGCCCGCCGAGAGCTCTCAGCCGCGGGCCTGCTCGTCATCGGCGGGGGCCTTGGCCGGAGGCATCGTCGGCGAGCCACCTCCCTGCGCGGCTGCACGCTCTCTCCCCGTGGTGTCCGAGCCGGGAGGCGCGGCCGTCCCCTCGGCCTCGTCCTCTGGCAGGCCTGCCGCCGCCGTGCCACCAGCCTCGCGGCGGCGCTTGGCCATCTCGCCGCCGCGCCGCGTCGTCCTGAACCTCGTGCCCGGCGCGGCGGTCGCGGTGTCGTCGTCCGCGGGAGCGGGCCCCTTGCGGCCGGCCTCGGTGTTGTCCTTGCCCTCGCCCTCGAACTGGTAGCCGCCCTCGCCGCTCAGGTGCTCGCTGCGCCCGCGTGAGCCTACCGGAGCGAGGGCTGCTGCGCCGCGGCGGAAGATCGATGGCATCCAGCGCTCCTCGACAAGGCGCCGTAGGGAGCGGGCTGGCAGGGGCGGCCGCGAGCCTCGACGCGAGGCGAACCTCGAACTCGGGCTCTCCGCATCACCGCGGCGGTCGCGAGCGGCTGGCGCAGCGCCCGACGGCGCGGCGCCTGGGTTGTCCGGCCCGTCAGACTCCAACCAGGAGTCTGGGCCGTACCCTGGCCACTCGCGGCCGCGCAGCTGCCAGCGGCGCCTGCGCGCGCGGCAATCTCCTGCGGCGAAGTCCATCTCCCAGATGCGGTACAACTTGCGGCAGAGCATCGAGACCCGGCCGGCGGATCCCCCTGCCCTCGGTGGCCGGCCTGCGCCTGAGCGCCTGCTGCGTCGGGCGGATGCCGCGACCCAGCCTGGCCTCGCGGCTGAGGCCCGCGCGCATCACGGCCCCCCATGACGTCCACGCTGAAGAGGCACACGCGGGACATGTCCTCTGGGGCGCGCTGCGAGAGGCGCCGGCCAGCGAGGCACGGCTTAGGAGGAGGGAAGAAGGAGAAGGGAAGGAAGAGGGAAGGAGAAGGCTGAGGAGGGACGAGGGAGGAGCAGGGAGGAGGGAGGAGGAAGGAGGGAGGGGCAGCAGGAGGTGAAGAGGTGGAGGACGAGGATGCGCAGAAGCGGAGCTGGCTGCGTAGCCTGGTGGCGACCGCGGGAGGTCTCCAGAGGTCTCCAGAGGCCTCCTCCTCCAGATGCTCTCGAAGGCTCGGGAGCCCCCCAGCAGAGGCCCAAGAATAAGGCTCGATCAGCCTTCTCCTGCAGCATCGACCAGTTTCCTCCAGAGGCCTCTTCCTCGAGCCTCGGTCAGCCCCCAGAGGCCCAATCATACCCTTGAGAAGCCACGATCAGCCCCCTCCAGGGAATCGGAGCCGACGCCGCGGCCCGGAGGAGACCGCGAGAGGGGCGGGGCGGGGTCTCCGACTGCTCCGCCACAGGCCCGCGCCTGGGGCACACGTACGCCGGCCTGAAGCAGAAGTTCCACGGCAGCGCGGCCCCGAACTCGCCCTGGTACACCTTTGGGCAGCGTGCAGGAGAGCGACGGGAACCCATCCTCGGTCCTCGAGGTTCGAGGTTCGAGGATGGCTACTCGTGGCCCAAAGATAGGGGATCGAAATGTTTGGACGCGTGCGGCCCTTTTCTTGATTCCGGAGTGGTGCGCCTGGCGCAGGTGAGTCCGCGGGGAGAGGTGCAGTAGCACCTGCAATTTGCAATAGTTGGCGGCTGGATGCAATAGCTTGCGCGCCGGATGCAATAGCTGCCCGTGAGTGCAGGTGTGTCCCTTCTTTCGCATGCCTTAGCTGTTGCCCGTGCAACAGTTCGTGCCCCCCACAACTGCTGCGTGCGATTGCACGCAGAAGCACACGACTATAGAATGAACGATTACAGCTCTCACCGCCGACCCACCTGCGCCAGACCCGCCACTCCAGCTCGGATGCTCTGGAAATATGAAGCCTCCAGAGCCCTCCGGGAACCTCGGGGACCTCCTGGGGCGGCCTCCTGAGACGGCCGAAACGGATCCTTGATCCTCGAGGTTCGAGGATCGCTCCTCGAGAATCGAGGATCGGGGAGATCAGCGACTATTGACGCGTTTGGCCTCTTCTGCCCTCCGGAGGCTTCCGGAGACCTCCTGGGACCTCGGGGACCTCCAGGGCCGGCCTGTTCGAGGATCGCTGCTCGAGGTTCGAAGATCGGGGAGGCCAGCGTCCATGAACTCTTTTGGCTTCCTCTGCCCTCCAGGGGCTGACTACCTGCCAGACCACCCCCACCCAACCCGAAGACCCGAATTTGACCTGAATTTCGGGTTGGGGGGGGTACGGGTTCTATGTGTTTTTGCCATGTTCCCCGACCCCTCCCCACTGGAAATGGAGGGCTAATTGAAGCCTTCGGGTTGGGATGGCGTGGTTTGGTGCGTGGTGAAAAGGAGTTCCCCGAGGTCCCAGGGACGTCTCTGGAGGCCCCTGGAGGGCAGAGGAGGCCAGAGGCGTCCATAGACGCGGATCCTCCCGATCCTCGAACCTCGAGCAGCGACCCTCCAGCCTCGAGGACCAAGGATCGGTTCCTGCCGCGCTCCTCCCCCCTCCTGCGCGCCGCCGAGCACCTGGTCGAACCAGGCTGCGAAGAGCCCGTAGACGGCGCAGGCCTGCGGCCCGCACACCCGAGGGGACCCCCTGGCGCCGATGCTGTTGCTCGGCCTCGGGAAGGCGCCAGCCAGCCGCGAGCGAGGGGGGGGAGTGAGAAGGAGAGGGCCTTCTCAGAAGGCTGCGGGACTTCTCAGAGGCTCTCGCGCCTTCTGAGAGATTGTCTCTGTCTTCGGGGAAGGCTTAGAAAACTTCTCAGAAGGCCGATGGGCCTTCCGAGCCTTCTGAGAAGGCCCGACCCTTCTTACTTCCCCCCACTCGCTTGCCACCGACCCTGGTGAAGTGGCTGCTCGATGGCGGGAGGATCGGCTACACAGAAGAGCGGGCCCGGGAAAGAGTGACAGTTGGTGCGCGGTTAAGTACGCCACGACTATATATATATATATATATATATATACACGCAGACACCCTCCGCCGAATTTTGCGTGCACCCCCCCTGTGTAAAAAGTCGCTGGCTCTCAGTGGTGATCTATACACCACCACCCTCCCCCGAGGCCCAGGAGCAATGCAGTGGAGGATGTCGGTATATTTGTTTGTTGCGGCGGCGCACGGGGGCGCAAGGTGGCCTAATCCAAGCACACAAGCAGCCACTGTCGCATCGCGCTCCGCGATCGGGGGGGGGGGGCCTGGCGGGCCCGCACCAAGAGTCACTCCTGCGAAGGGCCACTCACGTGCAGTCGCGAAGAAAGAGTTCGAGGGCACGGCAGGCTCGTGTCGTCACGACTTGCGCCCTGGCCCCCAACGCCGCGTGCACTGCCCCACCCCGCACGCGCGCGGCGTTCCGGTAACTATCAGAAACCGCTCGACGTCGGGCGCTGCCAGAAGCCGCTGGCGGAGCTCGATGTATGGAACGCCCGCGCGGGCGCCGCCGCCGCGCCGGCACGGCCAGGGAAGGCCGGGAGGAGTGGCGGGAGGGCGAGGCGAAGGAAGACGTGGAGCTGCAGGGGGGGCTCGACCACAAGCAACCTTCCACAGGGAACCCAACCCTGAGAATCCAGGACGTCCATTGATTTTTGGTACGGGAACGTCACGCTTCCCATAGCAAAACTAACGAAACCCAAGAAACCCTGTGCACCCTGGTGGAAAGCAAGGTGCCATGAGCTTCCACTGTAGAGCTATGCTGCGTTCGCGATGGTCGGGGGACGAGCAACAACAGAACGTGAGATCTCCACATTTTGACATGAGGGGGAAAGGGGCCCAGAAGGAAACGGATCCTGAGCATCCGGGCTGGTCCCCAGGACGAGGAGTAGGGAGTAGGAGGAGGAGGAGGAGGAGGAGGTGAAGGAGGAGGAGGAGGTGAAGGAGGAGGAGAGGGACGGGTCGCCTAAGCCCTTCGGAGAAACCCTCCACCCACCCCCGCTCGAAGGGACGTAATCGGCGGCGAGCGAGGGGGTGAAGTGAGAAGGAGAGGGCCTTCTCAGATGGCGGCGGGACTTCTCAGAGGCCCTCGCGCCTTCTGAGAAGAGTTCTCTCCGTCTTCGGGAAAGTCTTTGGAAACCTCTCAGAAGGCCGGGGGACTTCCGAGCCTTCTGGGAAGGCCCGCCCCCTCTCACTTCTCCCCCCTGGGCTCGCCGCCGACGCAAGGGCTGAGCAGGGGCCGAGGTGGGGTCCGAGGAGGATCGCGCTGAGCCTCCAGCTGAGTATGTTCCCTGGCCCCACCTCGGGATAGCCACCCCCGTCTACGAGCCCCCAGGCCCGAAGCGGGGGGAGGGGCTCGGGGCCTCGAGGCCATCCGACACGGGACAGTGTGCTGACCAGGACTTTGAAGATTCCACCTGTAGGGGACGAGGAATAGAGAGTACAGTGGAGGCCAGTCCGCAAGAAGCTCTTCACAAGAAACCCAACCCCGAGACCCCAGGACGCCCATGGATGTTTGGCGCGGGAGCGTCACGCCTTCCACAGCAGAACCATCGAGACCAAAGAAACCCAGGGCTTACCCTGGAGGCGAGCAGGGTGTTTCTTGTTACGTGTTTCCACTGTAGAGCTATGCTGCGTTCGCGATGGTCGGGAGACGAGCAACAACAGAACGTGGGGTCTCCACACTTTGACATGGGGGGGAAAGGGGCCCAGAAGGAAACGGATCCTGAGCCTCCGGGCTGCCCCCGGGACGAGCTCTTGGCATGGGCCTCCACTGCAGAGAAAGTACATGCTCCGACCCACGGCCGCAGTACTCTCTCGAGCGTGCCGACGCCCTTGCTCGGCAGGGCCACCGGTTACGGAAGTCTCCCACAGGGGATCCAAGTGGCATCGGCGCCGGAGGATCGCGCCGCATCGGCGACGTCGGCGATGCATCGGCGCCGTCGGCGCCATCGGCGGTGCGGTGCGGTCCTCCGGTCCGATTCGCTCTGGCCCCATGCGGGGGGGCCTTGATGTGCCTGAGGCCTGCCTGGGCTGCCCGTGGGAGCTGCCTATGCGCAACCCTGGGCATTGCCGGCGGGAAGTGCCAACCTCATGCCGTTTCTCACAGGTGGTGGGATGTGGAAAAGGCAGATAAGAGAATGGTCCTGACGGGTCCTGGACCCACGGCTTCCCTCGGGACTGGCTCGTCATCCTGAGCCCTATTTCGACGGCCTCGACCCCAGGAGAGCTCCTGAAGCCTGAAAGCACGAGGCACGAAGGAGAATTCACGCACACACACACACACACACACACACTAATACGAGTACTAATACTACACGCCCCCCTTGGAGACGCACGTTCGAACCGAACATATAGCACAAGCATATTGCCGTACGTACATCGTTACCTAGGCGGCATGGCCAACAAGCACGCGCCAACGAGCATACAGCAGAAGAGTCATGAGCACCAGCGCGTCGACCGTGGCAGGCCGACGGGTTCATAGCAGAAGCATGTTTGGGTGATCCCGACTTCTGCTTCATGGAGGAACCGACCACCAAAATGTTCAAAACGAAATAATGTCGTTCACAACGAACAAGGAACGAGGTCCAACGCTCAAAGCGAACGTTTGAACGAAGTCGGTGCCAAACGAAAACGAACGACGAAACGGGGCGTTCAAAACAACAACGAACAACGAAACGAAACAACAACAAAAAACGAAACGAAAAACACAACAAGGGCCCAAACCAAGCTAAACAGCGTTGTGGTCGGCCCTCGGCTTCCTGCCAACAGATCTTCTCCCCCCCAGATGTCCAGGAGCATGAGCTCGAGCTGCTCGCCGGCGGGGGGCTGCAGCTGCTCCTGGTTCTGGGAGTCGACTCCTGCGGAGTCGAGCTGCCCCCGCCCCGCCGCCCCAGCCGCCCCAGCTGGCCCCCGGTTGCCCTCGCACTGTCCAGACGGCGCAGGGAGGGGGGGAGAGCGATAGAGAGAGAGAGAGAGACACGAGAGAGCGCGAGGGAGAGAAGAGAGACAGAGAGAGAGGAAACAGAGAAGAGAAGAGAAGAGAAGAGAAGAGAAGAGAAGAGAAGAGAAGAGGGCAAAGAGAGAGAAGAGAAGAGAAGAGAGAAGAGAAGAGAAGAGAGGAGAAGAGAAGAGAAGAGAAGAGAAGAGAAGAGAAGAGAAGAGAAGAGAAGAGAAGAGAAGAGAAGAGAAGAGAAGAGAAGAGAAGAGAAGAGAAGAGAAGAGAAGAGAAGAGAAGAGAAGAGAAGAGAAGAGAAGAGAAGAGAAGAGAAGAGAAGAGAAGAGAAGAGAAGAGAAGAGAAGAGAAGAGAAGAGAAGAGAAGAGAAGAGAAGAGAAGAAGAGAAGAGAAGAGAAGAGAAGAGAAGAGAAGAGAAGAGAAGAGAAGAGAAGAGAAGAGAAGAGAAGAGAAGAGAAGAGAAGAGAAGAGAAGAGAAGAGAAGAGAAGAGAAGAGAAGAGAAGAGAAGAGAAGAGAAGAGAAGAGAAGAGAAGAGAAGAGAAGAGAAGAGAAGAGAAGAGAAGAGAAGAGAAGAGAAGAGAAGAGAAGAGAAGAGAAGAGAAGAGAAGAGAAGAGAAGAGAAGAGAAGAGAAGAGAAGAGAAGAGAAGAGAAGAGAAGAGAAGAGAAGAGAAGAGAAGAGAAGAGAAGAGAAGAGAAGAGAAGAGAAGAGAAGAGAAGAGAAGAGAAGAGAAGAGAAGAGAAGAGAAGAGAAGAGAAGAGAAGAGAAGAGAATAAGAGAGAAGAAGAGAGAAGAGAGAAGATAATATAAGAGAAGATACCAGAATAGAGAACAGAAGAGAAGACAAGAGAAGAGAAGAAAAGATAAGAGAAGAGAGCAACGAAGAGAAGAGAAGAGAAGAGAAGAGAAGAGAAGAGAAGAGAAGAGAAGAGAGGAGAGGAGAGGAGAGGAGAGGAGAGGAGAGAAGAGCATAGCAGAGAAGAGAAGAGAAGATAAGAGAAGATAATAGAGAAGAGAAGAGATGATAAGATTAGAAAAATAAGTGAAGAGAGAAGAGAAGAGATAAGAGCAGAGAAGAGAAGAGAAGAGAAGAGAAGAGTTAGACACATGAGCCTGGACGGAGGAGCCACGAGGGAGGGCGGACAAGGAAGAGGTGAGAGGCAAGGAGGAGGGAAGGAGAGGAGACTGCGTGCACGCATGCCGTGGCAGGGCCGCCCGCCCTGGCACTCCTGAGATCGGCGTGCTCCAGCTGCTCCAGGTGAACCCTGGCGGGTGCTGCCCACCAGGACAGGCGTTGAAGCCAGGGCACTTGGCCTCCAGCAAGCCGATGGCCTTCAGCAGGTTCAGGGGAGCGACAAACGGGATCAGGTTGACGATGAAGTAGGTGGTGGTGCTTGTGGTCCTCATCTGGGGCAGCAGTGCCTGGGAGAACACCACGACCAGGGAGCCCAGCACGCCGCAGACCACGGCCGCCATGCGGGCCCGAGAGAACACGGTGCTGACCAGCATGGCGAGGAAGAACGTCTGCAGAAAGGCGGCCATCAGCGTCAGCAGCATGAGAAGGCCGCTCGAGTACTTGTAGAAGGGCGCCGCCTCCATCACGCAGAACAGGTACAGCGCCGCGCAGAGGAGCGTCAGGCAGACGTAGTAAAGGAAGTACGAGAGCCAGTATGCGAAGGTCGAAACCCCCGCAATCTGCTGCACGTACCGCATCTTGAGCTCCTTGTCCGTGACGACCTCGATGACGAACTGCGTGAACACCAGGAGCAGCAGGATCACCCCGAACAGCGGCAACAGGCTCTGCACTATGAGCGGGCGGGTGGTCCCCTGGGAGTCGGGCCCCTGCTGTGACCAGATGATCAGCGGCACAAAGACGATGGGGGCCACCTTCCCGATCACGCTGAGGAAGCGCCTGCGGGCGGCAACGAGCCGATCCCCGTTCCCCCGCAGGCCGGATCGCCGAAACACCGGCGGGGGGGTCGGGACACGGAAGGGGTGTCTGCATCCAGGTGGGCCCTGGCGGGTGCGTCCGATGCCCCAGCTGGAGGAGCCAGAAAGTACAGGCACGGCTGCTCCGCAGATGTGCGTTCCGACCAGGACTCCCAAGCAAATCCGGCCGTGGCGACGAGGGCCTCCCAGGAGGCCCAAACGGCGGAAACCAGCGAAGCGTAGCGATCGGTACCTTTCTACAAGCACCGTGTTTGGACCCCTATTCAGGCCCCGCTCCTGCGCTGACCAGTGCATAGCTTTTCGGCTCCGAGGGCGGAATCAACCATGCACCGTACCATTCCTGGGTCAAGGATCGACGACGCCTCGGGGTACGCCAACGCGGATAGTTGCACACACCCAGACATCCGATGTCCTGAGTGTCTCAACACGGGGTCCCCGTGAGGTCTGAACCTCTTCCTGGTGGCCGGCTCTTCCTCCTGCGTCCTTTTTTGACGGTCCTGGAGCCCGACGAGGGCCCCCCAAGGCCGAGAACTGATGCCCGAGACGTTGGAGGCCGGGGCAAGGCACCCGCGGATGTTCTCCCCTGGCCGATTCCCAGGGTCCATCTGGTGCGTTGCTTCACGCCAGACCCGTGTTTGACAGCCCCTGGACCCGAAAACGGCCCCCAGAGGCAGAGGAAGGCAAAAAACCTCCTCGAACAGCTCGAACCTGCCGGCGCTTCCTGCTGGCCAGAACCCTTGCTGGGCCACCTCAGACCCCCAGCCGGCCCCAAACCACAGGCTCGACTAGACCTTGCAAGGGCAGGGTTCGCCAGCGGCCGCAGGAGCCTGCGCCTCCAACCCAGCACCAGGTGCTTCCGCAGCAGCACGCGCATGCAGGCCCGGCGCGACTGCCTGCGAAGGGATCGGGGAGGGCCGGGCGGCGGGTGGCCCGCAGAGGCGCGGCAAAGGGGGGGGGGCATCCATCTGACACTCGGGCGTTGCTCAATGGGGGGGGGGGGGGGGGCGATGACAGGGGAAGAACCATGGCACAAACATAAACACTCGGAGGTCCGCGCAGATTCCTCGGATCCGCGCTGGATCCCCCTCCCTGGCGCGCGGAGCTCGCCAGGGGCGGCGCCGGAGGCGCCGCCAGGGGGTCCAGCGCCGATCCGAGAAATCCGCGCGGACCTCCGAGTCTTGTTATGCCTATGTCATTCTTCGTTCCCCTAATACTGGGGGGCGATACGATGGCAGGGCGTGAGCGGCCATCCGAGATTGTCTTCTCCCCAAAAGCATATTTGCATTCAGACGTTCTCACTTGCCTTATGGAGGAGTGGACTGGTCTGCCGCCCCGGCCGGCTTGGGGCCGCCCCGTCGCCGCTCGTCGCCGCTCGTCGCCGCCCGTCGCCGCCCCATCGCTGCGCTCGTGCGCCGCCCCAGCCAACTTGTGGCCAGCCCGTCGCCGCCCCGTCGCCGCTCGTCGCCGCCGCCTGTGTGCCAGTCCGGCCGCCTTGTGGCCGCGCGGCGCCGCCCGTCGCAGCCGCATGTTGCTTGCAATTCGGATTGTGCAAGCCTCCTCGTAGATTCGCCACAGATTCGCCACTCTTGTTTTGCAAAAGAAACCGATCTACCACCAACACCCCCGGTTCATCGGTACCCCCTGGGGTTAAACAAATTACGTACGATGTTGCCCCATCGTTCATTGCGAAAATGAACTGACCATCCAATGCAGGCCGTTATCGACCCAGCCGCCGCCTCACCCCTGTCAAGAAATACTAGACCCGCAAACCCAAAAACAATCGCAGATGTCAAACACCCAACGCAAAAACTTGACAAAGTCGACACGCGTGCGGTGTTGCGCGCGCGTGTCAAAATTATTCATGTAAAACGTTCGTACGAATTCCCAGATCGAGGTCACCGAAACGTGTGAAAACAAAACAATAGCTTCACAGCATGACTGTTCAAACAAACGCACGCGAACTTGCGAACTTTCCTTGGAAACCCATCGTGTGCTCAATAAATTCGTGAAATGAAACCACGCCGGCGTCTCGCGCGCGCATCCGAAATCACTCGGACGCAACATCGGCGCCGTCATTGTCCTTACCGCCGTCATCGTCGTCTTCGCCACCATCATCGCTACTATCATCATCGTGCCCACTTTTGTCAACGTCACCATGATACCGCGCCCGCCGGAGTCACCGAATCGAGTCGCACTGAAGTGCCCGCGCGTCAGCGCGGCCTGCGAAACTCGCCGGGGAATCCCCAGCGGTCTGCGGTCTGCGCCAGCCAATGTCAAGCAGTCATCGCAATCGCCGCCGCATGCATCTTGCAAACCATGTTGCGGGTGGGCGGGTGGGAAGATTGCGCAAGCGGGGGCCTTCACAACTCCAAAGTCTTCATCACAAATTATTGTTCCTGTCGGCAAATGATATACCACCCTCTCCCTTTGACTTATCGGTCCAGCTTGGGGACCTGCGATTGACAGATGATTCTGCGCCATCGTCCATTCCAGCCAGGCTGGGTTCGACCCCCCTAATCCTCGTCAACTAAAACTTTGCGCGCGCACTCGTTCGTCGAGAACCCCGTGCCCAAAAAAATGCGGGCGTCGTCGCGCGCATGCCAAAATCCGTTAACAGCCGCAAGCGCCGAAAAGATCTCAAAATCGAGTGCCCCGAAAAACCTGTTATCAGAACGCTGTTTGGCGAAATTATCTGAAAAAAATTGCGCCCGCGCACTTGCGAATTCTTGCGAACACCATCGGATGCTCAACAAGTTCGCGGCATTCCACCACGCGGGTGTTTCGCGCGCGCATGTCGGAATCATTCAAACGCCTTTGCGCGCCTGCTGGGGGAGCACGCCGGCCGTGCGTGCATATCGAAATCATCACAAAACCATCGTCGGCGACACGTGGACACCGTCATCGTCATCGGCGTGATCAGCACCGGCACCGTCAATGGCCTTGCCGCCGTCATCGTCATCACCGCCACCAGCAGCGCCACTAACATCATCGCGTCTGTTCGCCGACGTCGCCATGATGCCGCGCTCGCCCGAATCGACGACTCGCACTGAAGTGCGCGCGCGCGTCAGCGCGGCCTGCGAGACGCGCTGGAGACTCCCCAGCGGTCAACGCCACCGCGGCCGCGTCGGTCGCGCCAGACCAGTTGGCCGCTCCGCGCGCGAGCCCGCACGAGCTAGCGAGGCCACAGCTTAGCGCCAGCCTTGGCCAAGAAGTCGTCGCAATGGCAGCGGCGTGGGGCTTTGCAAACTAAGTTGCGGGTGGGCGGGTGGGGTGCTTCGAAATTGACAAATTTAAATTCGACACGGTGAACTGGACCACATACATTGCACCATATAGCTTACACCACACAGTTGCCCACTTCTGCAACAGAAAATGATCCGCCGTGCCCCCTCCCCCCAACCAAAAAAACAAAAACCCCCTAGCTTAATCGACACCCCTTGGGGCGCTGCAATGCACGCATGACTCTGCCCCCTCGGTCATTGTTCAATGAACCCATACCACAACAGCCATGCCAGTATCCCCACTACCACCCCTGTCAAGCAACACCATGCGCGCGCGATCGGCAAACAACAAAACATATATTGTCAAACACCCCTTGCGAACAACTGAAAAAGTCCATGCGCGCACGGCGTCGCGCGCGCATGCCAGAACCCTTCGAACAGCGACGATTGCGTAACGATGTCAAGATTGAGGTTCCCGAAAACAGTTTATACACATGTAAAACTGCGTTGCGTTTGGATGTTTCAACAAATCTGCGCGCTCGTGCAAATGCTCGCTTATTTTCACTGAAACCGTGGGTGCTTCAACATTGTCATCAAATGTCACTTAGCGGGCCTCTCGCGCGCATGCCGAAATCACCCACGCGCCCCTGCGCACCTGTTTGGGAGCGGGGGGGCGCGATGCCGATCAGAAAACTTCACGTGGGCCATGCGCGCGCGTCGGCCGCGAGCGCGCGTCGCAATCCTCGGAAAACCTTCATCGCCGACGCGTGGACACCATTATCGCCATCGGCGCGACAAGCATCGGCGCCGTCACTGGCCTCGCCGTAGTCGTTGACACCATCGTCACCATCATCGCCACTATCGCCATCGCGCCCGCCGCTGTCGACGTCGCCATGATGCCGCGTCCGCGCTGGCAAACGCCTAGCGGTCAGCGCCACCGCGGCCGCGTCGGACGCGTCGGACAAGCCGGCCGCTCTGCGCGCGAGCCAGCGCGGCCACAGCGATGCGCCAGCCTCATTGCAATCGCCGCCGCGTGGGCGCAGCAAACCAAGTTGCGGGTGGGTGTGCGGGGGGATTGCGCGAGCAGTGGAGCTGACAACTTGAAGGCTGGCGAAATCAATGCTCCCTGAAGAAAACATATACCCCCCCCGATGTCGCGCTCCCCCATGGGGTAGCGTGGTCCTGCCCAATCGCTCACTTTCCGGATGAAAGCACCCCATCCCAGACCAATCCCTTATCGACCCTCCCTCCTCTCACCCCCGTCACACAACACTATGCACGCTCCCTCGCTGATCAAAACTACTCGGGAGAAAAGCAACAAGGGCCATGCGCGCGTCGTCGCGCGCGCATGCCGAAATGCTACACGAGCCTTATGTTTCGCGAGAAATTCAAGATCGAGGTTCCCGAAGTACATCGAATATGTTTGGAACATGGTGTCCCCCGTATGTATATATAGCTTACAAACACGCGCTCTTGCGAATCCTCACGGAAGCCCGTAGTTGTTCAACATATTCGTCGAATTCGGCCTCCTCCTCCCCATCCTTATGCTCGTCCCCGTACTCCTCCACCACCTCCTCCTCCAATGTACATAGCTCCATTTCTTGTTTGCGCATCTCACGATGGGGTCGCTTTGGGTGTTGGGGATTGAAGTCCGCTGGGACACCCATCGGCAGATGGAAAGCAAATCAGCGCGATAGGAAGGGATGGGAATGAGGGGTATAATATCAGATATGGGGCGATTGCGCCTAGCTGGCCCCTGCACACGTACAGCATATGTGTACTCCTCTCGTTTCTTCCCTGATGTCGTGCTGTTCTGAGAACAACTATATCGCACATCGTGTCTTGAAACACCAGGTGAGTCCGAGCTGCCATTAGAATTTGCTTTTCACGTGGGACTGTTCCTGTCAATGCAAGGTGGTGTTCCCGCTCGTGAGTTTGCTTTATTCCAGGATCACAACAGATCCTCTGGCCAACGGAGCGACGCTGTCGCCGTAGCGGTGACAGTGGCGGCTGCACCCTTGCATGCAATATGAGCGTTTGATGCATTTGATGAGTGGTGCTGACGCCCGTGAGTTTGCAATATCTTCTTACCAGGGGGCCTCCGTTCAACGAAGCGACGCTGTCGCCGCAGCAGTGGCAATGGTGGCCGTACTCTTGCATCAATGGAAACGGTGATGTGGCTGCAAGGTCTGCCACATTCCTATGTCTGTGTCCGTTGATCTCCAATGGAGAGGTGCCTTCGTCGCATTGCTGACCGCGACCCTGCATCATCGAAAACGATGTTCCCGCTGCAGCTTGAATTTCCAAAGAGATTCCGTCCAATGGGACGACGCTCTCGCCACGGCGCTGGCCGCACTCCTCAGAGGCCGCGGCAGACATCCCACGTCCAAAAAGCCAAAACCTGACCCTCACCTGAGATTCTCAGCCAGCGGTTAGGACAACAATCCAGAAAGAGAACCGCCTCCTCCTCCTCCTCCTCCTCCTCCTCCCACCCTCCCCTCATGCTATCCCCGCTCTAGGCTCCCTGGGTGAAAGGCTTCTCTGATTGGTTAGCCCTTTCGGGATCAAGGCTTTTTCTGAAGCCCGACTCTGCGACTCTGCGAACAGAGAGGGGGGTCAACACAACGGGAAGGGATTGGGGGAAGGGTGGGACATCAGATACGGTGAAAGCACTGGGTAAGAACGCACTGGGTATGGAACCCAGGGTCTCAAAGTCGGTGGAACACCCACTGAGGCTTGGTCATGGAGTTCACCGCCACAATCATCAGGTAAGGAATGCTCCAGGGTCTAAGGCATCCTGGGCCCATTCCTTCACGAATGCCCCCTTCGTATTGCGCGAGCGAGCCTCTCTCCTTCCCACTCAGTCCTTTCCATTCCTTCCTCCCAGCCTCGGTCTATCCTGCTTCCTCGCGAGTTCTTCCAGTCTCCCCCCTCCTCCCTCACGCCCCCTCCCCCTCCCTTATCGCTCTTCCCATGGCAATCCTCCCTTTTCCAGAGCTTCTCCTTCCTCCATCCTGGCTCCTGGCTCCATCTCCTCATCCATCCTGCCTCCTCCTCCTCCTCCCTCCTCCTCATCCTCCTCCTCCTCCTCCTCCTCCTCCTCCTCCTCCTGCTCCTCCTCCTCCTCCTCCTCCTCCTCCTCCTCCTCCTCCTCCTCCTCCTCCTCCTCCTCCTCCTCCTCCTCCTCCTCCTCCTCCTCCTCCTCCTCCCCTTCCTCCTTCTCTTCCCCCATCACTATTCATATAAACAACTCCTCCTTGGCACACCACCTGACGTGTCGTTAGGATAGGCCGGGCGATTCGCCAGAGAACTCCTCACCGTTGATTATCTTGGAGCTTGAATTTACCAGCAGCTACACGGATGGAGGGCGGGTGATTTCCAAGAAGGTGCGCACACTCGTCTGGAAACGCAACCAGAATAGTAAAGGGCGAATCATACTCAAAATGGGGCTCTCGTTTTGGCGCCGCGCCCATTCGTTGTTATACAAATTCCAAGTAAACGGATGGAAGGCGAATCGGTTTCAAAATGCGACGGTCGCCTTGGCGCCGCGCATATTCGCCATGAAAAGCAACAGCTACCCGGATGGAGGTCGGTTCCTTCTCAACATGGGGTTCTCGCCTGAGACCCCCTCAGAACGGCACTCGGGGCAGAAGAACAACTGCATAAGCATCAACTTTCGGGGCGCGGCGAGGATGTCTTGGATCTGCGCTGACCCCCCTGCCTGGCGCGCGGAGCGCGCCATGGGCGGCGCCGCAGTCTTCCCCCTGGGGGGGCCCGGCGCCGATCCAAAAAATCTGCGCGGAGCTACCAAAGATTGTGCTTCTGCCGGGTTTTCTCCTCCGACTTGGGTCGTCTGACCAGAAATCGACAGTCGGACGTCCAAAAGACACAGAGCATTCGAGGGCACCCTCCCCCAGGATGCACGAGAACATCCAGCAAACACGCAGAGCACCAAGGTGCCCTCACCGAACCGACTTGGATCTCGTACCTCGGTCCGGCCGTGCGAGCTCGTGGGGAGCCGTCTCTCACGGGGGCGCCCCGCGCGCACCGGGCAGAAGGCATGCCAGGCCCTGTGGAGAGGGGACGCGGGGCGGGGGGGCGCATGGCAGCAGCGCTGATACAGCTTGGACCTGCTGTGGTCTCGCTCCCTCCCACATCCCCCTCAGCAGTCCCCCTCTTCGTCGCCGAGCCCAGGTGCCGCGGAGTCGTGCCGTAGCGGACCCCGTCGGGGGGGGCCTCCTCGGCCACGCCCAGCAGGGTCTCTCCGGCGGGGGCGGGCTCCATCTCGAAAGCGGCGAGGGCCACCTGGAGAATCATGAACCAGAGTTCGGACTCGAGGCTCGAGGCTCGAGGATCGGAGAAGCAGAAGGCATGCGGGGAGCGTCGAAGGGCCACCTCACCGATCCTGACTGGGCCAGGATCGGTGAGATGGCCAGCTGACGTCCCCCGAGGGGGAGCGAGGAGGGAGGAGTGCGGGGGGGGGGGTCGGGTAAGATAGGACCGTTTGCGAAGCAGAGCTTGCGCAAATTGACTCATACCGCCATCTCGGCCTTACTTAGGCCCGTGGCCATCATGGGTTGGCCAGCCACTCGCCCTTGGTGGCACATGAGGCCACGGCCGACAAACCAAGCAGCGCGTGCCACACTCGGACAACCCGTTTCGTGCTGAACACAACGGCCAAAGAGGCCCGAGGAGGAGGGGACAGGAGCAGAAGCAGGGGGAGGGCGCTCATGATTCCTCTCAGAACGTGCCAGCTCCGAGGGCTCCAGCGTCGTTCCAAGGAGCCAGTGACGGATCCGACAAGCTTCAATTTCGACAGTGAGCCCCCTGGCCCCCTGATCCTGCTGCAACCGCGTTGCCTCCGCAGCGACGCCGCGCGACGCCTGCGAGGTGCTCCGCGCACGCACTACTTGCAACCAGACAGGGTGGAAACTGCTGGTCGATTACCTCGTGAGCCTCCAAGTGGGAAGCGACCATCAGAACCGCTATCTCCTCTGCCTGAATCGCGAAGACGGACGCCGCGACCAACCGCCAGGGGTCGATGTCGGCCCCTGCGGGCTCGAGGGCACGACGGCCGAGGCCAAGAGGAGGCCGGCCCAGGCTCGGCGTGAGGTCGGAGCATGGCGGCTGGACACAGCCAACACCACATCCCGCGGCAGCATGATGCGCTTGGTGCAGCAGGAGGCGACCGCAGACGTGGTCTTCCTGCAGGCGGTGGGCGTGGCCCCAGGTGCGGCGCCTGCAGCAGAGCAGGCCTGCCGCAGAGAAGGCTGGAAGGTGGCGTTCGGCGAGTCTGCGCGCACCGAGAAGGGCGGCCTGTCCAGCGGCGTGGGCATCGGAGTGCGAGCGCACATCGGGATGGGCAATGCGCCCAAGCTGCAACGGGACCGAGTGATCGCGAAGTGGGTCAACTGCGGAGTGCCAGGCGGGTTCCTGGCGGTGTCGGTGCACCTGGTAGCTGCCAACGGCCCCGATGCGGAGTCGAAGCTGGTCCTGGGGCAGCTGGGAGAGCACCTCGCCTACACCAAGTTGCCCTACATCATCGGCGGCGACTGGAACTGCAAGCCCCACGAGCCGGAGGCCTGGGGCTGGATGCAGGAGGTCGACGGCATGGTCGTGGCGCTTGGGTCTCCCACGTGCCGAGCCGGGTCAGGGTCGGAGATCGTCTTCTTCGTAGTCTCGAGCGGCCTGGGCGGCAAGGTACAGGGATGCAGCAGGCCGGGCGCGGCGCTGGCGCCGCACTGGCCCGCGCGGCTCCTGCTCAATGACAACGGCGCCCCCGAGCGCAGGCTGGTCCACTGGGCGGCGCGAACGCAGCCCGCGCAGCGGCCCGTTGGGCCGCGCCCCGAGCATCCTGCACGGGAGCCCGTCCTGCAGCGAGCGCGCGCGACACCAGCCGACCTGGGCATCGCCGCAAGGCAGGAGGCCGCCGAGACGGACGAGGCGCACTCGGAGGTGATGCAGGAGAAGACCAGGCCGCAGCAGCCACCCGCCCCGACGCCCCTCTGCCTGGCCAAGCGGAGGGCGCGGCCGGAGCCGCGCTCAGCAGGCGTGAGTGGAGTGCGCCAGTCGACGGGCTGGCCAGCGTCCTAGGCGTCGGCTACCAGCTCCCTGTCGGCGTCGACGCGGCATCGCTGAAGCGGCTGAGAGAGAACCTCGACCCGAGCTGGGCCGAGGTCGTCCACGGCCTGCACGGCGACACGACCGAGGACCATGGCCTCTGTGACCTGACGGTCGACGGGGATGTCATGCCTGGCACGGGACATTGCTGCGCAAAGTGGAGGCGTGGGAGCTGCGGGTCGATCCGCGCGGGAGATCGGCTTAACCTCGTGCGAACCGCTGATCCCAGAGCGGCTCTCGCAGAGGCCCCACGCCGACACGAAGCTGGATGACGCAAACACTAGAACACAAGTCCCAGCCCCCAGGAGCACCCTCGAGGTAAACAGCGAGAGGGGCCGGGCTCAGTCGCCAGATGACCTGCTGGAGCCTGCCCCTAGGTGCACCCAAGGGGCAAACAGCGAGCGGGGCAGGCCCGCCTCGATCACGGACGAAGGCGCTGGTGGGACTGCTGCTGGTGGGCAGGCAGCAGAGTCACCCGAAGTGCCCGTGGGCCCTCCGAGTGCCGCGGGCCCTCGGGCTGCAGTCGGCGTTGCCGCGGGCCTTCGGGCCGCTGTCGGCGATCGGCTGGGAAAGCGCGCCGCTGCTGGATGGGGCAGCGTGGGCGGGGCCGCAGGTGACTGGAGGAGCGGCGCGCTGGCCTGGGCGGGGAGGGGGGCAGCTCTGGGAGCGCACCGCCCCCCCGCCCCCAAGCCAGGGGCAGCCGCAGGACCGCTCCAGGAGGACGGACGTGATCGACGGCGCGAACGCGGAGTGGCAGCAGCAGGCAGGCGACGCAGGAGGAGGCGGCAAGGCTGGCGGCGGTAAGGAGCTGGACTCGGTCGCGGGGCCCACCCTCGGACCCGAGCTGACAGCCCAGCTCCCGTCGGGGGAAGGGGGGCAGGATTCAGCCCTGCAACGCCACAACCCCTTCCCCGCGCCGCCGCAAGCCTCACCAACGGCAAGGGCGGCCATTGTCGAGGCGATGCACTCGCAGCCGGAGCAGCAGGACATGGTGAACCAGCCGCACGGGGAGTTTGCCAAGCTGATGGAGGCCGACCTGCTCGGGCTGCACCACGCGGCGCCAGAGGACTCCCACCTCTACGCCGGGCGCGAGGCCGAACCGCGGGATGAGGAGAAGGACGTGCTGCTGACGGGAGGCGGGCCTCACACTAGAGGCTGCCCAGTGTCTGCTCGGTGGCGACGCATGGCTGCCGCCATCTGGGAGACGCTAGCCTGCCGCCAAAGACTGCACGTCAGGGCGGCGATTCCCAAGGCGCTGGAGCAGCTGAAGGCCCTGCATGCCAAGGCGGGCTCGCTGGCGGCTGGGGACCTGGGAGGCGACCTGATGTCAGAGGAGGAGGAGGAGGTTCGGAAGTGGGAGCGCCAGCTCCACAAGCTCAGCCACCTCAGCTACAGCCAGCTGGATGCACTTGAGCAGGAGGCTCGTGGGCTCGCGGCGAAGCTCGAGGACCGCTGCGGCAAGAAGCGGAGTCAGCAGTGGCGCAAGTGGGCGCGTGAGGCGGCGCAAGACGGCGCAGGGGCTGCGCATCGCTTCTGAAAGGCGCCGCTGGCCTGGGCGCCCGACCTCGATGGGGCGAAGGGGCCAGCAGGGATCGCAGCCACACTCGACGCGCTGAAGCACGAGTACCAGGAGGTTTGGCGCCACGGCGAGGTGCTGCCGCTGGACCTCGACGAGGCGCTCCCGACACGGACCTGGACTAAGTTGGCCAGGCCCCCTCGCCTGATGACATCAGGAAGGCGGCAGCTGCCATCAAGGGGTCCACGGCCACGGGGGTCGACTGCATCAAGCCCCTGCCCTTCGGCCACCTGAGCGACGACGGCCTCGCAGCGTTGGGGCAGCTGCTGCAGGTGCTGGAGGCGACGTGCAGGATCCCAGGGCAGCTCGACATGGTCCACATCTTCTCCTTGGCGAAGGCGGAAGGGGGCTGGCGCCCCATCGGGCCCCTCAGCAGCCTGGTCCGCCTGTCGGGGAAGATACGCCGAGGCGAAGCCCAGGACTGGGAGAGGCAGCACCCCAGGGAGTTCTTCTATGGCGGCGAGGGCAAGTCATGCGAGGACGCAGTCTGGCTCCAGGCGTTCGACGCCGACATGGCGGAGGCGATGGAGCAGCACTCGACGGCGTCGATGCTGGACCTGTCCAAGGCGCACGAGCGGGTGCGTCATGCAGGCGTGGCGGCGGCAGCTCGGAGGCACGGGTTCCGCATGCGGCGCTCGAAGCTCATCCTCCGCTCGCATGGCGGACGGCGCGGGCTCTGTCTGGGCTAGTGGGTGACCGAGGCCTTCTCGCTGGGGACCTCGATCGTCGCGGGCTGCGCGTTCGCCACGGCCCTGCTGAAGGTCATGCCCCTCTCGGCCATAGACCTCCTCATGCAGAGCTGGCTGAAGGTCCGCGCCTACCTGGTTGTGGATGACGTGACCCTGGCGGTCTACGGTCTGCTGAGGGACGTGGAGTTCGGCATTTTCGGCGCGACCAGGCGGCTCTGCCAGAGGCTGGAGGAGGACGGTTTCATCATCCTGGTCACCAAAGGGGTCATCGTGTCCAGCGGCGTCGAGGCCGGCAAAAGGGCGGCCCACCGCCTCAGGAAGCGGGACTTCAGGCTGCGCCGCGGGGCCAAGAATCTAGGGATCGATTTCACGCTCGGCGGCAAAACTTCGCGGGGAGTGCTTCGAGGGAGGCTGGGGCGTCGAACGGCGAAGGCGCCTCGCCACGCGCAGCTGAGGCGAGCGGGGGCCAAGCGTGGGACCGTCTTCACGTGCAGCGGCCTCGCCACCACCCTCCATGGCGCCCGAGTCAAGGGAGCCCCGTCCAAGGTGCTCGACCAGGCCAGGACCATCAACGGCAAGGCGGCGGCAGGCGGCTGCGGCAAGAGGAGCAGGACGCTGCAGTTCGCTATCCAGCCTGGACCTGGATGGCGCCAAGACCCCGCCTACGCGGCGAACTGCTTGCCGCTGGCAGCGTGGGCCAAGGCGGTCTTCGCCCAACTCAGGCCTGGGACCAGCATGCACAAGGTCTTCGAGGCGGCGCGGCCAGCCCACTGGGGTCAGGTCACGAGGCCTGCGGGTGCTGCGCGCCTCAGCCTAGGCCGCATCGGGTGGACCGCGGAGGCGTGGGACGCGTGGGTCACTGACAGGGGTGAGTCGATCGACCTGAAGTCCCACAGCCCGAAGATGGTCAGAACGCTGGTCGAGCGGGGAGTGCACAGATCCCTTCTTCGCACGGTGCCCGCGCACTTCCACGGGCAGCTGGCAGGGCCCCCCACGATGAACCCTGTGCGGGCGGCGCTAGTGGTGCTGAGGGCGCAGGGCGACGCGGAGCAGGTCGCGCTGGTCGAGATTTGGTGTGCGGCGGGCTGGACTCCCAGACTGACCTGTGTGTGGAGCGAGCCGCCACCCCGGCCGGTTGCCAATGGTGCGGCACTGGCCTGGGCTCGCACCACCACGGGCTCTTCGTGGCGAGGGGCATGGGCCTGGAGGACGTGCACGAACTGGAGCTGCAGCAGGCATCACGGACAGGGGCTTCGCGAGGTGCCTCGTCCCGCTTGGGCTGGAGGCGGCGCCCGTCCCCGCTGAGGACGAGCAGCGTCTCCGAGCGGGCGTCCTTCGGCATGAGGGTTTCTTGGGCACGGTCTGCATCGACGGGCCTGCCTTCTCCCCGCAGTTCGTCGAGCTCACGAGGGCTGGCTGGGCTGGCATCATGATCACGGGGGATGGGAGCATCGTTGGCGGCCTGATGGGCACTGTCCCTGGGATCGCGCAGGAGATCGGCTTCGCTGAGCTCTACGCCCTGGCTCGTGTGCTGCGCGAAGCGGCCTAAGGCGAGCTGCGCGCGGTCACGGATTGTAAGAATGTGGTGGATGATGTTCGGAAGGGGCCAGGCTGGTGCAGGAGCCCCGAATGCAAGTACGCGCAGCTCTCGAGTGAGATCGGGTTCAGAGTTCACGACATGGGCGAGCGCTTTGAGCTCCGTCGGACGAGAGCCCACACCAGCTGGGCCGCAGCAGAGCGTGCGGGCACGAAGGCCCACTGGCACATCGGCAACCGCGAGGCCGACAAGAGGGCCAAGATGGGGGCCCAGCTGCACGCCGACTTTGAAGAGGTCGGCGAGCTCGCCAGGCGTGTGAGCGCGGCGGCTGTCGCCGCGACGCAGCTGTTGCGCCACCGCGGCGCGGTGCTGAAGAAAGCCGCAGGCGAGGGGTGGCCCGATCGGTCGGCCCTCCCCCCGCCTTGCCCGCCCCAGGCGCTTTCCCTAGCCTCGGGCCCCAATAGGCACGCCCTGGGGTGTCTTGGGAGGTCCCGGGGCTGCAGCAGGCGTGGGGCCAGGGACGGGCTCCCATCGAGGACTGCTCGCCACCCCTGCCCCGGTGAGCCCAGGCCCGCGGCGATCGCTCATCCCTCCCATAGGCTGTGGGTGACTCGGGGTGGGCGTGGGACGCGCGGGGGGGGCGGTCGGGCTCTTGGGAGGGACGGGTCGACCGTCTTCTGCAGGCTGTGCGGGGCAGGTGCCCGACGGCAGGCCCACCTCCTGGCCAGGCAGCGTCGCCCCTGGACGTCTCGGCCCAGGGCCTCGGTCCGTCTGGGGAAGGCGACCCTGGAGCGCCTGCTGTCTGGTCGGGAGCCCTAGTCTGGTGTTTTGGGGGGTCTGCCTTTTCCGCTTTCGCGTGTGTTTCGGCCCCTGGCCCGAGGCGTGAGGGGGCCGAACCTGGGTTTTTGGCGGCCGCCCCCGAGGACTGAGGAGTTCTCGGGGGGGCTGGCCCCTAAAACTTCTTTTGTGCCCCGAAGAATGAGGGTCGAGCCCCCGACTACGGGGCGGATCCTACTTTAAGTAGGCGGGTGTGGTTAGCCAAGCCGACCACGCTTTTTAGAAACTAGAGGAGCTAGAGGAGGAGGAGGAGGAGGAGGAGGAGGAGGAGCAGGAGGAGAAGGAGGAGGAGGAGGAGGAGAAGGAGGGAGGAGGAGGAGGAGGAGGAGAAGGAGGAGGAGCAGAGTGGAGGGAGGAGGAGAGAGGAGGGCGAGGAGCCGGAGGAGGAGCAGCATGGCGGACGAGTAGGCAGGCAGGAAAAGGAGGAATGAGGACGACGGCGGCAGCGGCGACGACGCCAGCGGCGACAGCGGCGGCGACGACGTCGGCGGCGGCGGCGACGGCGGCGCACCTGCCGCGTGGCTTCTGGGGCACGCCGCGGCGCAGTGCCGAGCGAGGGGCGGGCGGTCTCGGCGGGGAGGCGGGGCTTCGGGCCCACGCTGCGAAGAGCACTGCACGGCCCGGGCGTCCGACGACTTCCTTCCTATCCTCCTCCTCCTCCTCCAACTCCTCCTCCTCCTCCTCCTCCTCCTCCTCCTCCTCCTCCCCTCCTCATCCTCCTCCTCCTCCTCCTTCCTCCTCGTCCTCCTCCTCCTCCTCCTCCTCCTCCTCCTCCTCCTCCTCCTCCTCCTCCTCCTCCTGCAACTTGTGGTGGTGGTGGTGGAAAACAGGCTCATCAATTCTAGCTGGCCCGATGTGCAGAACGTGGCGCATTGACACGGAGCTCAACACGCAGACTGAAAACGTGGGTCTGTCGCGGTACTCTCGCCACACAAAGTGGGCCAGCACGTGCCGAGCCATCACGCAGCGAATGCAGCACGGGCGTCTTGAACACGGTACGTGTGGCGCTTCAGAACGGGCGTGGTAGGGCAGCTGAGCCGACGGCGGCTCCAAACATCGAGGATTGAGAATCCAGGGTCGAGGAAGTTCTTCGTTTCGGAAGCTTCGTTGGCCACTTTCCTGAAAGTTGTTTAAATATTAGAGCTCGATCATGCTAAGACTGTTCGCTCTCCGGTGCTCGCGTGCGACTCAACATGTACGCTCCAAGCCCTCGATGACCGCCCTCTTCGTCTGCGATCCTTTGGAGGTTTATTGTCCTTCCCTGCCACGTGTGCGTACTTTGCGCCCCGTCTAACACAAGAGTAGGAGGAGAAGAAGGGAAAAGAAAAAGGGAGAGGGCGAGGAAAGGAAAAAGAAGCAAGAAAGGAGGGCAGCAAGAGGAAGGAAGAAGGATTGAGGGCAGATTCAGCAGGAGGGATTAGAGAGGAACAAACATGTTGACAAACGAGCCCAGACGGGCGAGTCGCGCGGGCTGGCCCTGACTGGCGGGTCGGACAGGCGGACCCTGACGGGCGAGTCGGGCGGGCGGGGCATGAAAGCGGGAGGGAAGGTTTCCAAGCACGCGGACGGGGGAACCCTGATGGGCTCTGCTGACGTCAGCTGTGAATGTGAGTGCGTCTGAGGAGGAGGAGGAGGAGGAGGAGGAGGAGGAGGAGGAGAAGGATGATGACGATGAGGAGGAGGAGGAGGAGGAGGAGGAGGAGGAGGAGGAGATGGTCCTCCCAGACATCTGACCGCTCCAATGTTTGTTGGTGCGCGTGCCCCACGAGGTCTGGACCACTTCGCTAGAGCCGGTTTTTCGTCCTGAGTCGTTGTTTGACTGTCCCGAGGCCCAGCGAGGCCCCCCAGAGGCCGAAAATAGCCCCAACCCGGCCGCTCCAGTTTTGCTCCGGGCGTCGGATCTCTGGGGGGAAGAAGGAGGAGGAGGAGGAGGAGGAGGAGGAAGAGGAGGAGGAGGAGGAGGAGGAGAAGTAGGAGAAGGAAAAGAGGTGAGGAGGAGGAGGAGCATGAGGAGGAGGAGGAGGAGGAGGAGGAGGAGGAGGAGGAGGAGGAGGAGGACATGGTCTGAACCCTGCCACCCGGAGCGCGGGCGCGGGGCGGCCGCGGGGGCTCGCACCCGTGGTCTCGCTGGAGGTCGCGCCGCACGCGCAGGGGCAGCTCGCGGCGGCCGCGGGATTGCCGCAGACCACGATGGGGCACCAGAACCTGCGCTCCGCGCTCGCGCGGCGCACGGAGGCCAGCCCTCGGCGGCCCTCGGAAGCCCTCGGCGGCCCTCGGAAGCCCTCGGCGGCCCTCGGAAGCCCTCGGCGGCCCTCGGGGGCCCTCGTCCTCGGCCAGGCGCGCCCCCGCGCGCGAGCACATCCGCGGGGGCGCGCAGAGCTTGGGGGTCCTAAAAACCAGGCGGTGAAACACCGCGTGGTGACCTCGGAGCCCGCCGAGACCTCACCGCAGGGTCCGTCACCGCAGGGTCTGGGGACCTCGGAGGCCCCAGCCGCTCGAGGCATCCTCGGAGAACGGCCCGTGTTCCAAAGCCGCGAGGTGACCCCGCATCCCCACTGGCTCACCGCGCGGTGTGGTCACCACACGGTCTTGGGACCTCCGAAGAGACCAGGGTGGGGCGACGGGGGGGGCGGCTCTGCTGACAGGGATTTTTCGGAAGGCCACCACCCTCGCTGGACCAGACAACAAACGACACCACCTACGGCTCCACGGGGCTCAGAGTATACCAGGAGATCTGGCGTGGGTTTTTGCGCGGTAGACGCTACGGAGCCCGATGGGCCGCAGCGCAACATGGAGGACCGCAGGTGGGGTGGTGTCGTTTGATTTCTGGTCGACTCACCCCCCTCGGAGGGCATGATGGGGGGACAGCAAGGTGGGGGGGACAGCGAAGCAGCTGCATGCAGCTGGTGTTCCCGGCGCCTGCCCGCGCCTGCCGGCGCCTAGCGGCGGACCCGACCCATCCAGATCCAGCGCGCCGCCGACACCCGCAGATTGGGTGTGGCCAAGTGTGTCTCTGGCCCCACGGTGTTCCCAGCTCTTTGCGCCACCTTGCAGCCACTTGGGCCCTCTTGGCCTCGTGAAAGGTGGGAGGCCGCAGGGGCTCCCTCCTCCTCCTCCTCCTCCTCCTCCTCCTCTCCTCCTCCCTCCTCCTCCTCCTCCTCCTCCTCCTCCTCCTCCTCCTCCTCATCATCATCATCATCATCATCATCATCATCATCATCATCATCATCATCATCATCATCATCATCATCATCCCCCTCCTTCATCCTCATCGTCATCAACATCATCACCATCAGGCAGCAGCAACCATCATCGTCGTCATCAGCATGACCAGTAAGATCATCATCAGCATCCTCTTCATGATCAGCACCACCATTATCACCATCATCGTCATCATCGTCGTCATTGCCATCATCAACAACGTCATCATCATCATCATCATCATCATCATCATCATCATCATCAGCATCAGCAGCATCAGCAGCAGCAGCTCATCGTCAACAGCATCATCATCATCATCATCATCATCATCATCATCAGTATCATCAACAACCACATCATCATCATCATCAGCAGCAGCAGCAGCATCATAATCATCGTCCGCATCGTCATCATCGTCATCGTCATGATCATCAGCAGCAGCATCGTCATCAGCATCAGCATCATCATCATCATCAGCAGCATCAACGTCATCATCATCAGCATCATCAGCATCATAATCGCCATCATCAACAACATCATCATAATCGCCATCGTCAACAACAGCATCATCGCGATCATCACCACCACCACCACCATCATCATCATCACCACCACCACCATCACCATTACCATTACAATTACTATCACCATCATCATTATCATCACCATTATCAGCAGCATCATCATCCCCCATAGCATTCTCCTTCTCCTCCTGGCCATCCTGTTCCTCCTCCTCTCTTTGGGTTGGGCGGACTCCAAGTGCCATGATTGTGGTCTTCAAAACCCTCCTCCTGTTCCTCCTCCTCCTCCTCCATCTTCCTTCTCAATCCTTCTCAATTCGCCGGCCCAAGGAGCCACGCTAGATCCTCCACGCAAGTACCTTGGGTCAGAGTGCTTAGATGTCTAGTCCGCGCGTGCGAGGGCAGCCCTGGGAGGGGACCCAACTTGGGCAGAAAGCCCGAAGAACGCCCCAAGAGCGCGGGTCAACGCGTGTAAGGCCCCATGCTGGACCCAAGATGTCCTAAAGATGGTTTCACTGTGGCATCAGGATGGCCCAGGGCGGTCCAAGCTATTCCCATGGACTGCAACGACGGCCGAAGATGGCCGAATAGCCCTTCCCCGAAGATTCACAAGATGGCCAAAGTCATCGAACGAACTACGTGCTGCTGCTGCTGCTGCTGCTGCTACTGCTGCTGCTGCTGCTGCTGCTGTTGGTGTATGGCCTTCTTGCCTCTGCGGGATCCAACGGGCCCCTCGGGCTACGCGGTGGCCCCGCGAGGACCCATACGAGAGCACCAAGAGGGCCTTGGGACTCCACAAGAGGGCTCCAAGAGGGCTCCAAGAGTTCCAAAAGGGCCCAAGAGCAGCCCGAGAGCACGGGCCCGTCAGAGCCGGGCCATACGATGGCCCCGAGCTGGCCCCCAGACGCCACATTTGTTGTTGTTGTCCATCCCCCCTGGTCTACCCCCCTAGACGCCACAAAATGATGCCAAAGAGGCCCGGGAAAGTCCAAGACAGCCCAATGAACTGAAAAGACAAACCCGGATGGTCGAATATGCCCCCCTCGAAGACTCGGAACACGATGAAAATCATCGAATGTTGCTTGCTCTGCTTGGCCGCCTTGTCTCTGCAGGAATCAATGGTGGGCTTCTCTGGCCCAGCGGTGAACCCAATATGGCTCTCATAGAGCCCTCAGAGGGCCCCAATGCTCAACAAGAGGGCCCCCAAGAGTCTTCCAAGAGGCCCCGACATCCCACGAAGGGTTTTTCCCAACCCTCCTGTGTTGGGCACTCGTTTTGAATAGAGCACTGTGGTGTGGTCTCCACCTTCCTCCTCCTCCCGCCTCCCGCCTCCTCTCTCCCCTCTTCGTCTCTTCTCTTGCTCTTACCCCCTCATCCTCTTCTCTTCGCTCCTCCTCTCCTCGCTTGCTTTTTACCGATCTTTACCTCGCCATCTCTGGGGCGCTGCGATCTGTGAAAGTGTCGCCACTTTCGAGGGCTGCTGGGGTGGCCAGCGAAATGACGCCCCACGGGGACTCAGATTAGACCTCGCCATCCTTGGGGGGCTGCGATCTGTGAAACTGTCGCCACTTTCGAGGGCTGCTGGGGTGGCCAGCGGAGTGACGCCCCACGGGGACTCAGATTAGACCTCGCCATCCGTGGGGGGGCTGCGATCTGTGAGACTGTCGCCACTTCGAGGGCTGCTGGGGTGGCCAGCGCAGCGACGCCCTACGGGGACTCAGATTCGACATCGCCATTCGTGGGGGGGGCTGCGATCTGTGAAACTGTCGCCACTTTCGAGGGCTGCTGGGGTGGCCAGCGGAGTGACGCCCTACGGGGACTCAGATTAGACCTCGCCATCCCTGGGGGGCTGCGATCTGTGAAACTGCCGCCACTTTCG